ACCGCATTAGGGAGCTACAACAAGTACAACAACAACTGCTACAAGTAAGGTTTTGTTTCAGTGTGTGACTGAATTAATGTTTAGTTTCAGGTTTTTCTGATATGACTGAAGACCATTTCTGATGAAAACCTAATCTAGTGTGTGTGCCTGTGTTTGTGTGTGTGTGTCCTATTACATTTCCCAGCTCTTACTATTTATAGTTTATTTGTTCTCTTTTCTTCCTGTCACTTTTTTTTTGTGTTTTTTTGTCATGTTTCCCAAAAAGCTGCAATAAATCTATGAAAGAATACAAATTCCCACACTCCTGAGGAACACACCCAGCATGTCCACCAGGTTTTTGAGAGGCTTCTCAAGAACCGTCTGTTTATGAAGGCGGAAAAATGCAAATTCAATGCCACCACCACTTTCCTGGGCTACATCATGTCCCGAGGTGAAATAAGGATGGATCACCAAAAACTGTCTGCCATGAGAGATTGGCATGAGCCGGGGGACAGCTGCAGTGTTTCAGATGTACCAAAAAATCAGATTTAAGCAATGGCATATTAAACTTGTATTAACCGCAAGCTATTAAATCAAAGATTCTGTGTTTTCATGTTTTGCAGAGACTGTCTGTGGCTGTGTTTGCTGAACAGTGGTACCAGTTTCGTAGCTGGATTTGCAGTTTTCTCGGTGCTGGGATTCATGGCTCATGAGCAGGGCGTTCCCATTGCAGATGTGGCAGAGTCAGGTATATATTCAGATATATTCAGAAACATACTTTTTCCTGGATCCAGTGTTACAGAACTTATGGCAATTTTCTGATAACTTGTTACAGTTTGTCACATCTACAGTGACAAAGGAAGGGGAAGGTTTTCCATTTTCAGACAAAAACAGATGGTTTAAGGTAAAGGTTCATTGAGCTGCTGTGATTGAGAGAATTTTATGAAGAATTGTGAAGAAATATTAATTTGAGGAGGAAAAAAACACTCAACAGTGTAATATATAATTAGAGGAGACTTCACAATCAGTGGACCTATATTTAAAGTCAGACTACCGATTAACTCAAATGATGGTATTAGTGTTGGATGAGTGTGACCTTATGTCCACAGAAGCTTCATTTTGCTGATGGGAGTTGGGTATTACACCCAGTACTTAAGAAAAATGTTAAGACACTTGTACTCTACTTGAACATTTTAATTCTATGTTTCTTTTTATTTGGCTCAAATATGTTATATGGGGGGGCTGCACGGTGACTCTGTGGTTAGCACCGTCGCCTCACAACTAGAAGGTCGCTGGTTTGTCCCGGTTAGGACGTGTGCAGCGTGGGTTCTCTCCGGGTTCTCCAACTTCCTCCCACAGTCCAGAAACATGTTGGGGTTAATTGGTGATTCTAAATTGTCCATAGGAGTGAATGTGAGTGTGCTTGGTTGTCTGTCTCTAAGTGTAGCCCTGTGATAGACTGGNAAGGTATTGGCTATGCCGGGCAGCTGATCCTCCTCTACAGCTGTCCAACCTACCTTATCATACTGTCCTGGGCTTTGCTCTACCTTGTGTTCTCCTTCAGCTCCCAGCTGCCCTGGGCCAACTGCAACAACTACTGGAACACAGGTAAAATGCAAAGATTGTTTCACTGTCTAAAGCACTAACATTGATTTGCATGACCGAGGATATACTAATATTTAAATCATGCATGATATCAAACACATGTGAGGGTACTTCAAAAAGTTTCTCGGACTCCCCAGCACATGTCACAGGAGATGGGCTGTTCTTGTCTAGTACCACAGAGCTTGGAAAGTTAATGGAGCAGCCGGACCAGAATAAATTGCGACACGCAGGAATACAGGACAGCGCAACATACCGTAGCAGGACTGAAATGAAACTACAGTACACACTCTAATGCACGCTATAAAAACACAACTTAGCTGCCCAAGGTGAGAGCGGTAGGGAGGAATGGGACCAGAAGGGGAAGAATGGCGTTGCTCAGTGGATCAAAGCTTTAGTTGTTGTGGCATGGTGAATGGAGAGACTGAGTCCAGGTGGAGGTGGTACAGGTGATCGGCACACACCAGAGGTCCAGGCAGGAATGGAGGCCGAGTATGGAGACAACAGATAAACTAACTGAGATCTGAGCCCTTCTTTTATGGCACGAGGAGAGCAATGGGTTGGTGAATCACTCCCCCGCTGCAGGTGTCCATGATCCGCTGATTATCTAGAGTGAGGCACAAGCACCCCCAGATGCATACCAAACTCACACCACTGGTTAGGGGAAAGAAAAGCAGGAGGGTGAGCTGTTAGATATGCAAAAGTGGAGGGAATGACATTTGCACTAAAGATGCACGAGCGTCACTATCCCTTGGCAGAAAAAGTTCACATTTTGAGCAACCAGCTCTTCCTCAGCAGCATGGATGATGTCATTGTGACTCTGAAAATGCAACCATGCAAACGGGATTTCAGTTTGGGAAACAGAGAGAAGTCAGATGGTGCCAAGTCGGCTAAATAAGATGCATGAGGCAGCAGTTAAAAGCCACATTTGGTTGCTTCTGCCACGTGTGCTATGTGGACATTGTCCTGGAGCAACAGCAGCCAGCTTGAAGTTTTCCACTTCTTTGTTTTATTGGATTGCTTTTAACATTTGAGTTTTCATGGATGGTGACATAAGGCTTTCTAGTGTACATTTATGCCCCAAAGCAGAGGTTGTGCCCTTTGTTTCCAGGTGAGGCTAAGAACTTTGTGAAGTACCCTTGTCCATAGAACTGTCTTCTTTTTGTTTTTAACTTATGTGAGACACATATCCCATGCATGAAACAATGGAACTAATCACAGAAAATTTTGACCAACAGCTGCATTATGCAAGAAAAACATACATGACAGTTGACAGGTTTTCCAGCTATCACTGCAATC